AGTGGTAGAGCCCGCTTTAACATCTTCGCACTGTAGGTTCGGCTCGCCCCCACCAATATCACGACTACACAGAAAACAGGAGTGAAGTGGAAACAATTCCGCGTTTCATCTGATGAGTGTGGTGCCGGAAGCCTATATTTAGTCCTTTTTACTTTTCACCCTTTTCGTCAGAGGAAAGTTTGGAAAGGAAAAGTGGATTTGACGGTGGAGACGCATAGGAAGGGAAATGTCCTCTTTATGTGCGTCTCCTCCGTCAATCAAGGGTAGGCAGCGCATCTGCGATTGCGGATGTTTTTGGGCAGCGGTCGCTTTCCATTTCGGTGGATTCAGGCCGCTTGCGAGTTTGCTACCTTATATTATAAAAAAAAAAACTTGGCAACAATATGCATAACTAACATATTGCAACAATATGTCAAACCAGACTTTACCATTACTAATACTAAACTAAGTTTAACTAAATAGTTCCTAATTATGTTTTTTATGTCCCTAAAATGTATACCGTGAATTCCAGGTGTGGCAGTTCGCTCCCAACTCGGTGCACTATTTGCTGTCATTGTGGCAGCGGATGGTGGCATCGGTGCCATATGTAAAGGCGACTGAACCTCATCGGCTGGAGCAGTACGCGCCGGGGGTCACTGCGGCGTACATCACCTCCAGATTAGACTCTGTTGCTGTTATAGTCAGGTACCATCACCATCACCATCATCATCATCAGACTCTATCAGCCCATTGTTGGATAGGCTTCTAATATATCCTAATATTATAAATGCGAATGTATGAGATCACATTAAGGATCTGTCCCACCACTGGCTGATAGAGGCATAGATAGCTTAAAAATGACGTCACTGTCCGATAAGGCAATAAAATCTGATATTACCATTACGTGTTTATACTCTGGATTATCAGACAATTTACAAGAATTGTGGAAAAGGTCCTAAAACTATACGTCCACGTCCAATAATCAAATCACCTTAACGACGGAGTTGACAATATTATCTGTCTCTTTCTATCTCGTGTATTTGTAATGTGTGTGTGTAAAAGACATGGAATTGATAATATTATCTGTCTCTTTCTACATGGTGTGTTGTGCTGCGAGGGTATGGAGTTGACACGCTACTATCTGTCTGTTTGTGTGTGCAGCGAGGGCGTGGAGGACCCGCTGGAGGAGGCGGGCACGGTGCAGCAGCAGCTGGAGCAGCTGGCGGTGATCGGGCGCTGCGAGTACGGCAAGACGTGCCAGCTGCTGGTGGCGCACTTCGACCGCGCAGCTGCCGAGTACAGCGTGGAGCAGCGCCCGCAGCAGCTGCTGGTGCTGCAAGGTCACCTGCATACTGATTATCATCATCATCAGTCTTTGTTTGCCCACTGGGCATAGGTCTTCCCCAATGCCTTCCACAGAAGGCGGTCCTCCGTCTTCCGCATCCAATCATCAGGTTCAGGGACCAGGAACATGGGTCGTCCTCGCTCCAGATGGACTGATGACTTAGTGATTATAATACTTCATACTAATGATATAAATGCAATAGTTTAGAGGGATGTTTTTTTATCATAAGGTTGCAAACGAGCAAGCGGCCACCCATATCCGCTAAAATGGCAAAGCGACCGCTGCCTATAGACATTCGCAATAGTGGATGCGTTGGATACCCTTGATCGCTTATAAAGAGGATATTTCCCCTTCCTATGCGTCTCCTGCACCATCGAAGCCACGTTTCCTTACCATGCTTTTCTAATAAGAAAAAGGTTGGGAAGAAAAAGGGACTAAAGTTGGGCCTCCGGCACCACACTCATCAGACTGCACGCGGAATTGCTCCCACTTCACTCCTGTTTTCTGTGTGGTTGTGGTACTGGTGGGGGCGAGCCCTACAGTGCGAAGATGTTAAAGCGGGCTCTACCATTGTCTGTGTTTGTTAGAGTTTGTAGCCTAAACGCCTGAACGGATTTCGATGAAATTTGGTAAAGGTGTAGAGAATACTCTGGAAGAGCACATAGGCTACTCGCATTTTTTTCCAAGCGGACGGTGTCACGGGCGAAAGTTAGTATATATAAAATGGTGTTTTAGGTCAACTGAGCTGGTTGGTGTATATAATCGGCGCGGCGATCGGCGGCCGAGCGTCAGTGACGACGTGCGACGAGAACGACGCTATGGATGGAGAGCTGGTCTGCAGAGTGCTGCAGCTGATGGACCTCACTGACTCCAGGCTCGCCAGGGTATCATTTCAATTATTACATCTATACTATTATAATAAAGCGTAAACACACTTCTTTGTTGCCTAAGATGTCAGCAATTACACCATATTTTTGAATAATTCTTTTTTCAATAAAAAGCCCTACACTTACTTCACGCTTTAGGCTATATATTTTCACGCTATTAAACTTAGGGGGTAAATATTTTGGATAAAAACCCTAATGTGGGAAGAGACCGAAGTTGCTGACAAAATCAAGGAAAAGATTGCCAAGGTTTGTCATGTCATGTCATTTTGACATTTGCTATTGATAATTTTAATTCTTAATGTATCTTCTTTCCATTTGAAGCAGGGTGGATGCGAGAAGCTGGAGTTGGCGATGATGTCATTCTTCGAGCAGTTCCGCAAGATCTACGTAGGGGAGCAGGTGCAGAAGAGCAGTAAGGTCTACCGCAGACTGAGCGAGGTCCTCGGCCTCGCTGATGAGAGCCAGCTCCTCAGCGTGCTCATGAGGAAAATGTAAGTTGCATTTTACTAGCTGCTGCTCGCCACTTTGCTCGCGTAAAAAAATAGTAAAAATAGTCTGTCACTCAGTAATGTCATAGGTTTTTAATGGAGCGATTTTTGAAATAGGTCCAGTAGTTTTTGAGTTATTTTAATGCCTTCCTCTTTGTAATATTATCTTTTTTCTTTTTAGTATTAGTATAGATATCTTAATTTGTACATAATCTTACCCATGTTTTATAAAACGACAGGAGATTAATTTTGACAATTTACTATCTGATTTATTTTAGTCTTTTCTGTTAATTTGACATCTCTTCGCTTTTTTAGCGAAATCAAGGGCGCACAAAGCTTGCGAGATAGTGTCATATACTTAATTTGTATAAATATGATGCGACAATAAAAAAAAATCTACTAAACTAATTTAGAGATAAATACGTGAGATTTTGAGTCTAGTATTTTGGTATAATCTTATATTTTTTACTACAAAAATCTCCCTTGAATTAAATGTTAAATTGTCAAATGCCACCTTATACTACTAAAAATGCTATGCTTGTAAAGAAAAGGATGTTAAAAAACGTTTTGTCAACAGAATAACGAATTTAAAATATTGGGGCGGGTCTGAGCCGATCATCTCTAAGACCTTAGGTCTTCTGAGTGACCTGAGCGGAGGCTACGCGTGTGTGAGGAAGCTGGTGACGCTAGAGGAAGTCCAGTTTATGCTGACACATCATACTGTAAGTAAAATGATAATGTCGGAGTTTGAAAATAGATGGCGCTGTTATGTTTTGTTTAATGGACTTAGTAGTTAGTCCCTTAGTATAGATTTTAGTAGCAAACACCATTTAGCGATCGTGATTTATAAAAATAATTATTAGACAAAACTTTTATTTACTGGACTATCTTTTGCCCGCGACTTCGTCTGTGTGAGATTAAAAAAAAATAAAAGGTGGTATATGTGTTCTTCCAGACCATCTTCTGCATTTATGAATTTCATCGAGATCCGTTCAGCAGTTTAGTCTACAAACTAACAAATATCAATACATATAAATTTTTCTATTTATAATACTAGTTAGATTGTTTTCGGTGTTTGAAACTAGATGGCGCTTTTTTAAATTCCCCTTAAACGTTAAATTAATTTCCTAGTCTCACATTCCCTTAGTGTAGATTTTCTCTAAATTTAACATCAATGGTTTCCTTAGCAATCCAATCTAAAACTAAAATATTTTTTTGTATATTTCAGGCGGAACACTTCCCATTCCTTGGCATCTCAGGAGTTGGGCCTTCGGAGATGAGATGCCGCACGATGCTGTACACGGCGCTGGGCCGCCTGCTGATGGTGGAGCTCGGCGAGGACGAGGAGAGGTTCCATGCCTTCATGATGCCGCTCACAGGTATACGCCAGGAGACATTCGGAGGCAATCCCACTATATATGAAAATATACCAGATTATTTCATCTATCTATTTGTAATTCTATACCTATCTATACTTCTATACTAATATAATAAAGGGAAAAGATTTGTATTTTTGTATAGAATTAACTCAAAAACTACTGGGCCAATTCGAAAAATGCACTATTAACAAGCGTCATAATCTCTGAGCGACATAGGTTATAGATTTATTATTTTTTTATTCCACGCGAGCTACAGCTAGTGGTATTATAAAGAGGAAAGTTTTTTATTTTTGTATATATTGAAATAACTCATAAACTACTAGGACTATTTAAAAAATTCTTTCACTATTAAAAAGCGTCATTATCTCTGAGTGACTACATTTTGTTTATTTTTTAATTAATCTAATAGCATATTTAATTAATTTAAATATATTTTCCAGCCGCTTTCGAGAGTATAATCGGTCTGCTGGGACCTCCTGAGAGTCCTTTGTTCGCGTCAGAGGATGCCAAGAAGACGCTTATAGGTCTAGCAAGAGATCTACGAGGACTTGCATTCGCCTTTAATACGAAAACTACGTATATGATGCTGTTTGACTGGATGTAAGTATTAATTAAATGAAACTAGTCTTCGCCCGCGACTTAGTCCGCGTGGAAAAAAAATAAAAACATAGCCCATAGCCATATAGCCCACTTTCTTATGATAAAAGATTTTTTGAAATCAACCCAGTAGTTTTTGAGTTATTGCAATACATACAAAAATACAAATCTTTCCTCTTATATTAGTATAGACTAGCTTTTGCTCGCGACTCCAACCGCATGGTTTAAAAACCAAAAATGAGTAATCTATGAAGGGATAAATCGCATGTAACAAGACGGACGTTAGTTATGAGTGTGGTACACCGGTAGAGGTAGACATAGAAAGAGATGGATTGTGTGAAAGGTGACATGATCAAGAAGGGAGTGACAGATGACGTATAATAGAGTTATTTGGAGGACGAAAACCCGGCGCGCCGACCCTACGGGAGTAGGTAAAGCAGGGGAGATAATGAGTAGTCTGTGTTTTTCCAAACTTCTCTCAGACATCAGTACAACAGTAATTTGCTGAATGATTGTTAGAGTTGTTAGCGAAAGTTAGTCTGTACTAATGTAAAGAGGAGAGATTTGTATTTTTTTATGTATTGAAATAACTCAAAAACTACTGGGGCGATTTTAAAAATCCTCTCAACATTAGAAAGGTAATTTATCTGAGTAACATATGCTATATATATTATTAGCTATTCCAGTGCGACTTCATGCGCATAAAATTATGAAAATTTTATTTTATTGTACACATGTGTCATAATATCAATTGCAAATTTCAAAATGACATGATGACGAACCTTGACAATCTTGTTTTCTTGATGTTGGCAACTTATGGTCTCTTTCCCACATTAGGGTTTTTATCCAAAATATTTACCCCTGAGTTTAATTGCGTGAAAATATATAGCCTAAAGCGTGACGTAAGTGTAGGGCTTTTTATTAAGAAAAGAATTATTCCAAAACATGCTGTAATTGCTGACATCTTAGGCAACAAAGGAGTGTGTGTTTACGCTTTATTATAACAGTATAGATATGTTGTGGTGCGCAGTTACCCGGTGTACCTGAAGGTGGCGCTGCGCGGGCTGGAGGCGTGGTTCGCGCAGCCGGAGCTGAGCACGCCGCTGCTGAAGCTGGCGGCGGAGCTCGCACACAACAGGAACCAGCGCCTGCACTTCGACGTCTCCTCGCCCAACGGGATACTGCTCTTCAGGGAGCTCTCCGCCTTCATATGTGCTTATGGTACGAGAAACCTTGCTTTTCATATTAGTATTTTAATAGATTTCAACAGTGGTGGTGCCCGCTTTATCTTGGCACTGCAGGGTCGGCACGCCCCCAGTAATACCACGACCACACAAGACAGGCGTCAAATGGAAGCAATTCCGTGTTTCGTCTGATGAGTGTGGTGCCGGAGGCCTAATTTATGTCCCTTTCTCTTTACCACCCTTTTCTTATAAGGAGAGGATGGGAAGGGGAAGCGGATTTGACGGTGGAGGAGAAGCATAAGAAGGGGAAATATCCTCTCCTCTATCGGATAAGGGTAGGCAACGCATCTGCAATTGCGGATGTCTATGAGCAGCGATCGCTTCGCCATTTTGGCGGATTCAGGTGGCGGCTTGATCGTTTGCCATCTTATGTTATAAAAAAATAATAATAGTGATATTCTCTTGTTGATTCTGAGGTACCATATTAGGAATATGAGCCTTTTTTATTATATAAGTTGGCAAACTCGCAAGCGGCCTGAATCCACCAAAATGGAAAGCGACCGCTGCACATAGACAACCGCAATTGCAGCGCTGCCTACCCTTCGGAGGACACGCACATAAAGAGGACATTTCCCCTTCCTATGCGTCTCCTCCGTCATATCCTCTTTTCCTTTCCATCCCTTCCACTTAAGAAAAGGGTGGAAAGGGACTATAATTAGGCCTCCGGCACCACACTCATCAGACTGTACGCGAAATTGCTTCCACTTCAGGCCTGTTTTTTATGTGGTCGTGGTATTGCACCGGGTGAGCCCTGCAGTGCGAAGATGTTAAAGCCTTCACCAGTTCTAGAAAATAACCGTATCACGCTCTACTGGGATCGATCTATTATTACGGACAGGACTACTGCCGATAGGCCTGATATAGTAATAGTAGATCGGTCTGAGAGTTGTGTAATGTTAGTCGATATCACTATCCCACCTAACATCTAAATTCGCCTAATTAGCAAATGACTGATGCCAAGATATCCGCAATTGCAGATGAGTTGTCTCTTAAATGAGAGTGGAAACGCACATATAGAGAATATTTCCTTTATGCGTTTCCACCTAATAATTCCTTTCCTTATCAGAAAAGGATGGGAATGGAAGAGAGTAATTTCAATGACCGCACATATTTGTGCATTTTGGCTTTTAAAACACGTTATTTTGCCTTCCCATCATCTTATAAATGACAAGGAAAGGGACTACATATGCTCTTTAGACTTGTACGTGGAATTACTTCCACTTCACACCTGTCTGTGTACGAAAATGCAGTGTGAAGATGTTAAATCGGTTTACCACTATTAAATGTCAAATGTCAAGTGTTATTTTTTCAGGCAGCAGAATAGTGACAATAGAAGTGGGCAAGAAGGATATGTACGCAATGAAATTGAAAGGAATATCAGTATGTTTTTGTATACTGAAAGCTGCGCTCTGCGGGAACTACGCCAATTTTGGTGTATTCAGGTATAAACTAGCTGTCGCACACGACTGCGCGTGGTTTGAATAAAATTTTGTATCTAAGTTTTAAATCTGTGACAAATTTTATATAGATATTTTCTATGAAAAATGGTATTAATCAGAATGTAATTTTTTACAAAACAAACATTCATTTTTTTTTTGTTTATTCAAATTATAATGTAATGGTTGGATAATTTGGAAAAAAAAAAACTATTTTCTATTTAATCTATATGTTTTAGAGATACGTAGTATGATATTTGCAAAGGTCACTTGAATTCGCCAAAATGGCGAAGTGATCACTACCTGATTATCGCATTTAATAATGTTGCCTATCTTTAAACAAAAGAGAGAACGTAACAAAACATGATATTTCGCCCTTCTATGCGTCCCCTCCCTTTCCAATGCAACGAGAAGGGGAAAGACTAATTCTACAGCACAGTAATCAGAGTGTACGCGGAATTAGTTGTCAATAGTGGGGTATTATGTGTGCAAATAATGTCATTCCCCTGCCTCTAGAATAGGTAAATGACTGAAATAATTATTATTTCGTATTAGTAATACAGTTCTCATGATTTTTCAGGTTATATGGCGACGAGGCGCTAGACAACGCATTGAATATGTTCGTGAAACTGTTGCTTCATATACCGCAGAGCGATTTGTTGGTCAGTGGAAATATAGCTTTATTAATAAATTCTAACCAATATATACTTAATATAGATTATTAAACGTAAACACACGTTACTTAGTTACTTAGGATGTCAGCAATCGTAGTATATTTTCGAATAATTCTATTTTATCAAAACACGCTTTATATCTTCAAAGTATTAAACTTAAGGCGTTAATAAGTTAGAAAAAAAACCTTTATGTTGGAAAGGAATCAAAATTACAACCTGACAATATCAAGGTAATAAGATTGCAATAGTAACGGTAATTGTTATCCAATGTTTTTAATTTTATTTGAAATAGCTCTTCCCGTGCTTCTTCATCCGCATGAAATTATGAAATTTTTATTTTATTGTTTACATTTGTCAAATTATCAATTGCAAATGTCAAAATGACATGACATTACAAACCTTGGCAATCTTGCTTCCTTGATGTTGGCAGCAACTTATGGTCTCTTTCCCACATTAGGGTTTTTATCCAAAATATTTAAAGTTTAATGGCGTCAAAATATATAGCCTAAAAAGTGACGTAAGTGTAGGGCTTTTTATTAAAAAAAAGAATTATTCAAAAACATGCTGTAATTGCTGACATCTTAGGCAACAAAGAAGTGTGTGTTTACGCTTTGTTATATTACATTTGTTCGTTTATCAACAAGTCTGCGTTTGTACCATAATCCACAATATCTACGTATTTGTCGTTTTACTAACTATCGCGCGCGACTCTGTCAGCGTGATAAAAAAAAACAGACTATCCTCTACATATATGCCAAATTTCATCGAAATCCGTTCAGCCGTTTGGGCTACAAACCCTAACAAACATCCATCCATCTAAACTTTCACATTTATAATATTGGTAAGATTAGTAAGATTCACTACAAATATATAGTTTCCTTTTGTTTATATATATGTAATATTGCAGGACTATCCGAAGCTATCGCAGACGTACTACGTGCTGCTAGAGAGGCTCGCACAGGACCACATGCCGTTCCTCTCGTCGCTGCAACCGGAGGCTACGCTCTACATACTCTCCTCTATATCTGAGGGTTTGACGGCGTTAGGTCAGTATATACATACGGATAATAATTAAAAAAAGTAATTCGCCAAAATGGCGAAGTGGTGGACAGGGGAGGGGACAAAGATATGATACTTTCTTTTTATGCCTTTCCTCCAGCCTTCTCGTCCTATTCTTCCCTTTCAATAAATTCTTGAGAAGGGGAGGGGACATGATATAAAGACATTGAACTTACTTAAGTTCAATGTCTTTATATCATATACTTATATCCGTGTACTTTCTGATAACCGTGTAGCGGAGGTCTCATTCGCTTTCCCTTATGATATGGGCGGGAAGAGTAGGAGTATGTGACAGGGAGAGGGACACACCTGAAAGTAACGTTCCCTTCCTGTGTGTTTCTGTCCTTTAAAGGAAGACAAAGCATCTGAAAATCCGGATGATCCCTTTGCTGTTTTGGCGAATTGAAGTGGATGAAATTGAATACAATGTTTTAATTTGTAGACATAAATTGTATGTTTTGTGTTTCAGATACGAGTGTTTGCACCGGATGTTGCGCAACATTGGATCACATAGTTACATATCTATTTAAACAACTAGTACAGAAAAGTGAGTATTTTAGATATTTCTACACTAACGGTAGCTCTCAGCGGCTATTTTACTACTCTGTAAGAAAGAAAGTACCGTTTCGTACTTTCTCTACAATCAGAAACTACTAAAAAAATATTATAAATAGTTTTGACCACTCGCCCCTTTAATATACCAAAGGCATCGCCTTATCTTTTAGCGATGCCCTATGTCTACACTAAGGGTAGCTATTAGTGGCCTTTTAACTGTGCGTTCCGTTTTATAGATAGGTGAGTCAAACTAAGCCAAACTAAACTAGGCTAACCAAGCCGAATATGAATATTGAAATTTAAAAAAAAAATCATTTTTTAACACTAAATAACTAGATGTTTTAATTCAAAAATATTTACTAGTAGAATCTCGATAAACTCAAACCTCTAACTTCAAAAAATAATATGTTCCCTTTCCATTAGAGCCCAAAACCTCTACAACATAGCTTGATAGCTTAAAACCTCTATAACTTAAAGTATTTTGTGTTTCCCTTGGACTTAAACTTATCGAGGTTCTACTGTATATACTAAGGCAGGGGTGGCGAACTACTGAAACGCGTACCATAAATGGCACACAACATAATATTTTGGATACGTCAAATATCATAAAAACATCAAATGAAATAAATTATAAAGTAAATACACCATGGAATTGACGAAAAGGCGAATCTAAGAAGGCATTACTTTAAAAATGGCACTTTTATGAGTAAATGTTGACCACTGCACTATAGTTTGTCTAAATAAGATAGATTAGTTTGATAAATGACGCATATGAAGTATCGAATTAAATTTGTATGAAGGCAAATGCCATACTTAATAGACAGGTATCGTAGTGACGAACACGCAGCGAACAATTATGAACTATCGATATTCGGTTTAAATAATTATCAAACTCAACTAAAATTATTATTTTCTTATTCACTAATTTATAGGACAATTCTAGTATTGATTACAGTGTAGAGAATTTAGCGATGACAGAAATAATAGCGAAATCCAATTCGATTACGTACGGCTGTAGTAGTAATAAACATTGATTTAGTTACACTCATTATTTGTTATGGTCATTATTAATTTGAGTGTTTTTTTTTATTTCATAAATTATAACTATAAATCTATCGATTCCAACTTCTATAAGAATAAAAATCGAAAATCGATAAGATTCATGACTGATTTTACACAACCCATCCCTACTAAATTTGAAATGAATTGTCAAACTAATCTGAATTATTTAGACACGGACATTTATAAGGTGTATACTAATGACTGAGTGCGGTTGCAGCGAGCAACAAGGTGGGCAACCCGCGCCAGCCGCCGCCGGAGACCAGCAACATGTTCGTGGAGGTGCTGCAGCGCAGGCCCGAGATCATGCAGCAGCTGCTCGCCACCGTCAGTATACTGCTGCAGTACACAACACCAATACGAACATATCGAGTTTTAACACCAATAGCCTAATGGTTTGGGGTACGGATTCAATTGTGGTCGAAGATTCGAATCCCACCATTCGACTTGTGAACGTAACTGGAATAGTTACAGGAAATATTAGTAAATTAATAAAAAAATCTACTATTTTTCAAAAAAAGTCTAAACACACTCATTTTAGTTATATAGGAGGTCAGCGAAAACATATATTTTTTAATTATGACTTTTTTTAATGACAACACCACTGCTTACAACATAAAGGGCCTTTCCCACAATTCTTGTAAATTGTCAGAGAACTATCCAACGTATAAAATATGTGATGGAAGTATCGGATTTTAGTAGTCTGGCAGTGACGTCACGCCTCTATAAGCCAGAGGAAAGATTTGTTATTGTATGTATTGAAATAAATCGAAAACTACTGGGCTGATTTATAAAATTCTTTAACTATTGGAAAGCTACGTTGTTAGTGAATATCATAGGCTATTTTTTTTTTACTTTCACACGAACGGATTCGCGGGCGAAAGCTAGTTAGTACATAAAATTGTATGTTCAGGTGTTGAACGTGATAATGTTCGAGGAGTGCTGCAACCAGTGGTCGATGTCCCGTCCCCTGCTGGGGCTGGTGCTGCTCAACGAGGAGCAGTTCTCCCGCCTGCGCGCGGAGCTGATCGCGCGCCAGCCGCGCGACAAGCAGCCGCAGCTCGCGCACTGGTTCGCCAACCTCATGGCCGGCATCGAGCCCAACCTGCTCACCAAGAATAGGGATAGGTATGTAGGAAACAACGCTACAACTGTTAAAACTAATTCGCCAAATCGGCGAAATATTTTTAAAATTCGCTAAAACAGCGAACGTGTTTTTTTTAGTATTAGGTATTTATTGTTATTAGGAAGTGGTGATATTGAATAACGTAAAGTAGTTTAATTATTGTTAAAATTCGCTATAATAGCGAAGTTAGCAATTGTTTTTTGCAGAATTTGTGTAGTGTAGAATTTGACTAAATAATAGTGATTAATATAGAATGCGCTAAAAGAGCTTATTGAATAATTCGTCAAAATGGCGAAGTGATCGCTGTCCATATATATAGATCTTAATCCTAATAATGTTTTTTAATGTAAATTTTTTTTTACTGCTTTGACTTAGGCTCCACAAAAATTAGAAAATTTTCGTCAATATCCGTTAAGCTGTTTTGTATAATCTTAGTAAAAAATATCCATACATCCAAATTTGCATTTCTTGATTTGGCAATTCATTGTTCAAATTGATAGATTATAAGACAATATTCAATAAAATGTGTGTTCCAGGTTCACACAGAACTTGTCAACGTTCCGTAGAGACATCAACGATCTACTGAAGGGCGCGAACGTGGCGCAGCAGAGTAATGACATGATGACGTCATAATTTACATACATACAGTCACACAAAGATATCTAACCCAATGTTTCGCTCTCATAAAATGACATATCGTCTCCGTATGTGGAAAAATATACAACTTCAATATATAATATAATAAAGCGGAAACGTACTTTGTGACGTAAGATGTCAGCAATCACATTCGAATAATTCTTTCTTTAATAAAAAGCCCTACACTTCCGACATGCTTTAGGCTATGTTTTCACGCTATTAAACTTAGGAGGTAAAAAATTTGGGAAATAAACCTTCATGTGGGAAAGAGACCATAAGTTACAAGCTACCAACATTAAGGAAGCAAGGTTATTGTTAACGGTAATTTTGACATTTGCAATTGAAAATTTGACAAACGTAAACAATCAAATAAAGTATTTATTCTAAGCGGATGGAGAATCACGGGAAAAGCTAGTTTTGGTACCTAATTTTCGTTGTTTTTAGGACAAAAAAATCTTTATATCTTAAATATTCTAAATATAGCCATTTTTGGGTTCATGATGGAAAAATACAGTCAAATTAAAAAAAGTAGAAAAAAAATATCTAAATCGGTTAAATAGGACTAAAAGGAATCTTAAACATGAGAAAATTCTTAACAGTAAATATTTCCGTTTATTTGTTTCAATTTTGTATTGAAACAACTCGAAAACTAGGCCGAATTTAAAAATCATTCCATAATTAAAAAGCTACGTTATCATTGAGTGTATGTTTTATATTATTTTTTTCACGCGGACGAAGTCGCGGGCAATAGCTAAGCAATAAAAATGAAACGCTAAAAAAACCAGTAAACAAGAAACTATGATTTTGGGGTTGTTTTGTTTTCCACTGGACTATAAAACAAATTGCGAAATTAAAAATACGTGAGCTGTCAAAATTATGTCTGGTCAAATAACTTTCGGTTGAATATAGAAGGGTCATTATTATTATTAAATTTAACATAATCAAACGAAATAATAGTATTTTGAGTGTAAAGTATTACTATCTAACAATAAAAATAATATTCCAATTAAGGGTCTGTCCCACCACTGGCTGATAGAGGCTCAGATAGCTTAAAAATGTAACTGTCTGATAAGGGAACAAAATCCGATATTTCCATCACATTATCACTTTCGATTGTTATCAGACAATATACAATTTGGTGGGACCCTTAGGGCTTGTCCCACCACTGGCTGATAGTCTCAGATAGCTTAAAAATGTATCAGATAAGGGAACAAAATCCGTATTTCTATCACATATTTTACATGTTAGATTGTTATCAGACAATTTACAATTTGGTGGGACAGGCCCTAATGGTCAATATTGGATTTTATTTAAAATTTGACTGCTTGTAAAATCTTTTTAAATATGACATGTTTTTTTCTTTCTGTTTAAAAAAAAGTAGTAAACGACTAGTAAAAAATTGATTGGAATAGTCCGCCATTTTGAATTATTTTGGCGCCAAGTGATTTTTTTTTGTCAATATTTTTGTATTTACATTCCTAATAGCGGAAATGGATTTTTATCGTTTATTATTGAATATTGATTTATTTAAAAGATTCGGTTTTAAAAATTGTATATTCAGTTGTAATAAAAGATTTTCAAGAATTAATAAAATTACTGAGGTAAATACGGCTTTTTCCGTTTACCTAACCAGTTAGGTAACAAGGATTTTTTTCTGTTTTTGTAAAACTAGGGTGCGTATACTTTTCTATTTTCCGGACCATCTATTACTTTTATTATTATAAAGTAAAGTATTACTTTTCCTTCAAATCTACACTATTATAATAAAGCGTAAACACACACTTTGTTGCCTAACATGTCAGCAATTACACCATATTTTTGAATAACTCTTTTTTTAATAAAAAGCCCTACACTTACGTCAAGCAATTGAATTTAGGGGGTAAATGTTTTGGATAAAAACCCTAATGTGGGAAAGAGACAATAAGTTGCTGCCAACATCAAGGAAAGGTTGTCAAGGTTTATCATGTCATGCCATTTTGACATTTGCTATTGATAATTTGACAAATGTAACAATAAAATCAATTTTTCATAATTTCATGCAGATAAAGCCGTACGCAAACAGCTGATTGCATATAATGGCTGTGTGGTGTTCGCCGGAGTGAACTTGGCCATTTTAACATGGGATTGAGGACATGAAACTAACAAAGTGTACCCACCCTAGCAAAAAAAATGATTAGTTAAGAATTATTCAAAAATATGCTGTAATTGCTGACATGTTAGGCAACAAAGAAGTGTGTGTTTACGCTTTATTATAATAGTATAAAAGTATAGTTTTGAAGGAAAAGTAATACTTTATAATAATAGTAATAGATGGTCCGGAATATAGAAAAGTATACGCACCCTAGCGGTTACGAAAACGGAAAAAAATACTTGTTACCTAACTGGTTAGGTAAGTTTAGTTAGGTAAACGGAACAAGCCGTAAATAATTAATTATTTACGGCTTACTCACGTATGCTTTTGTTTTTCCGGTGACGGCACCGACCAGTTTCAGACCCTGCGGGGGTCCTTCTTCAGGGCGAGAGTTAAGTATATGTCGCGTTCGCGTCGCGCCTCGCACTGAAAAACAAAACAAAAGCAGGCAAGCAAAACAAAAGGAAAAACAAAAGCATACGTGAGTAAGCCGTAAATAATTAATTATAAAATGTCTCACGAAAGTTTAAATAATTTAAGCCGTAAATACTACTCAAAAAAATCGCTTATTACGACTAAATGACCTATCGATGAAGCAATCAGTGCAGTATTTTGTAAAAACTTTTTCCATATATACGCAATTTTTAATTATTCGTAGGAACCTAATAGTAATATATGAAAAAAAGAGGAAATACAGAATACCCTTTTTTCCCACACCTCTCACTCTCCATATTATATCTTCTCAGTCATGTAAATGTCAATTTGTTAAATTTTCATGTATAGTGCGATATTTTATCTGGCCCGGAAATGATATCGAGACTTATCACTTTTAGACAACTTATTTAATTAATACTGTCGCTTTAAACTCAGAGCAACACTTCTCGTCAGGACTCAGGTTGCGCGCCAAAATACATACTTCTAGTGACATTGACAGCTGTCAGCTGTCAGCTAGGGACGTGACGTTTATGTCGATAATCTAGAGTTGCGCCAACTCTACAGCACGGTACTAATTTTGTTCTAACCATTACGAAATATTAAAGTATAGGTAAAAACATTAATATATCTAAACAATTACAGTAACAAAGAGCTTCAAAAAGTATAGAGGAGGCATAGTTGACAATTCACTTGAGACATTTTTTTACAAAACTAACGCTAAATCCATTTGTCAATTAATTTTATTTAAATTAATTGCCAATATATGTCATTTAATAATAACAGTGGTAGAGCCCGCTTTAACATCTTCGCACTGTAGGGTCGGCTCCAGCAATACCACGACCACACAGAAAACAGGCGTGAAGTGGGAGCAATTCCGCGTACAGTCTGATGAGTGTGGTGCCGGAGGCCTAATTTTAGTCCCTTTTCCTTTCCACCCTTTGCTAAGAGGAAATTATGGGAAGGAAAAGTGGATTTGATGGTGGTGGAGACGCATAGGAAGGGAAAATGTCTTTATGTGTGTCTCGTCCATCAATGAAAGGTAATCAACGCTGCAATTGCGGCTGTCTATGTGCAGCGGTCGCTTTCCATTTCGGTGGATTCAGGCCGCTTGCGAGTTTGCCACCTTATATTAAAAAAAAATAATGAAACGTTTTTATTTTGTAATACTGTTTAGTTTATAATAAAAGAAAGGGCTATAATTTAAAAAAAATGTTTTATTACATGCCAATAAACAGAGGTGGCACTAAATTTGACAATTGATTTAGTACTTGCCAGAGAAAGTACCGGTGAAAAAAAAGTTTTCTGGCCCATTCCGCTAAGGGAGTGGCTTAGACAAGAAACTGAAAAAAAAATTGTTCTGTCTCCTCTATATATTTGAACTTCTTTGTAATAGTCCTACGGGTCAGATAATGTCAATAAATTTATATTTTACACTAATTCCTTAAAACAATCAGTGAATTACTAATTTCTGAGGCTAATTTAGTAATAAAATAGCCTTAAATAATTTTCCAGTCTGAAATCTGTGAGTCTAGTCGTTTAAGTTTTTGATATATTTCTATGATATAAAATGTCGATGTCACAATAAAGTTTTCTTTGTTATGTAGATATATAATCTATAGATAATCAAAGCAATAAACAGGTAAAATGGCCTGAAATCTTTAGTTGAGAAATTTAATAGTAACCAGTACTAAATTTGCCTAAAAATTAACAAATTTTTTACTTATATTAATTTGTAGTAATCTTACTATCTTACTAATATTATAAATGCGAAAGTTTGGATGTTTGTTAGAGTTTGTAGCCTGAACGACTGAACGCATCTCTGTAAAACTTGGCATAGACGTAGAGGACTTACGTACTCTGGACGAACACATAGGCTACTCACTTGTGTTTTTTTAATTCACGCAGACGGCGTCGCGCGTGAAAGCTAGTAATAAGATAAAATTGATAATCGTTTAATCTTTAATTTTCTACTAAATTTTGGTAGTTTGGTAGTTTTTTTGACACTACCTTGCACTAATGACATGGTAATGACAAATTGACTCTGACGTGAAACTTGTATATATCTATAGATTATATATCTATGGTAGCTATATTTACAGAAAAATATGTTTTTTTGTTCAGTTTCTGAAGTCTTTGAAGAGGAAAGTTCATTTTTAAAAGACATCTGTTTGAAATGTATTGAAAAAATCAAATTGATTTGGTAATTTTTATTACTATAGGTAAGAAAATTAATTTTTGTCCCGAAACTTTTAGAAACATGATTTTTTTTTTAATTTTAATGAGTTATGAATTTTGTATTTTGTTGATATGATTATTATGAAGGTTTTTGTATGTAAATTTGTATGAAATTTATTGAATAATGTACGGATGTTAGATTTTAAATACATTTTCCATACTAAAGCGACAATGGTACTAAGTGGTTGTTTTGAATGATTTTTTTAACTAGAAAATAGTTTGAAAAAGTCTACTCGGAAGATAGATTTTGCTTTCAGTGTTGTGCCTGTTGATAT